TCGCTGGGGGCCACCATTACACATGTTAATTTTACATTCGCTACCGCATGCAGAGAACATGCGGTCGTCGGACCTAATAATTTTTCGTGAGCGAGAGGAAGAAATTAGGATTTAGGGCTTTTTTAGGAAGAAAAAATAGGTTATATAATAATAATAATAATAATAATATTATTATTATAATATACTCAATTTTATGCATTTTCTCCTAGACACACCATTGTTGTAAAATGAACATCTCGCTTAGGCAAAATCGACGTTTCAGACGCGTCGGCGATGTCTGTTTTGTCATATGAGATTGTCTGGGCAACCTCGTCGACGATTGGGTCGAAAATGCGTCAAATTCTATTTCCGTCGAAATTTTGGTTTGAGTTCAATTGATTAGAATGGTGTAGATGGCTGTCATGAGAAGTCTAGAAAAAAATTTGAAGTGATTTTGAGTTGATTAGGATAATTTGGTAGATTTTGGTCACTTATTCAATTTTGGGGTGTTGGGTTGGACTTAGGTTAGGTTGGGTTAGGTTTAAATTGATGGTTCAAAATGGTTTAAAGGAACGTCACAAAGAGTTTTCAACATAAATTGGGTGTCAATTTTGGGATTTGGGCATTCAATTTGGTGGAATTTGGGGACAACCAATTTGAAGCAAATTTGAGGATTTTGAATGTGGGTTGAAATTGAGTGAAATTGAGGCTTGACCAAGGCCAATTAAATGTCCAATTTGATTGTCCAATTTGACAATTAAATGTCCAATTTGATGTGTAGGATTGCTATGAAGAGTTTAGGATTCAAATTGGGGTAAATTAAGATAAAATTGAGGTCAATTGAATAGTCCAAATTTGTTTCGGGAACAAAAGGGCTGAATTGGGCAATTGGTGAAATTGAGGTGTCAACCATCCTGATGTGAGTCACGGACCAATGAAATCTCGATTTGGGTCCTCTATGTACTGGTGCTAGCTAAACTCCAGCCTAGGGCTAGAGGGTGTAGGAGACCATCTACATGAGTTTCCCAAAGAATCAAGGGATCATAGTCAATAAGTTGAGTTCAGGGTTGTGAGTAAATAGGGGTGAAAGTGAGTGACAATGAGTGTGAGTGACTGCAAGTGAGTGAACTTGCTCCAGACCAACACCCAAGGTCAACCCTAAGGTCAAGCAGTCCTATGGGAACTCATCTTGAGCTCCCTCATATTGACCCAATCTACTAAATGCTAGAGGTTATAACCAATATGTGAAACTTCAAGTTGAGCTCAGAAAGTTTAGAATTTATAATGGTGAGTGTTCTTTTTCTAATTTTCTAGGAATAGTCAGCAGAAAAGTCCTATAGCTAGACCCTAGGCTACTTAAAGAGGAGAAAGCTAGACCTCAACCAAAAGTGAGGTCAACACACATCAACTTAATTCTTCTATAATTTGTACACTTTTGTGCATCCCCTTTATTCTTAAAAATGGAGACTAAAATACTCTTCCTCCACTCCTCAAACATCTTTTTAGTTTTTAAAAAAATATTAAAGAGTTTAGTAAGCCAAGAAACTCCCAAATCTCCTAAATATTTTCACACTTCAATTGGGATATCATCAAGTCCTACATACTTTCCACCCTTAGTTTTCTTTAAAGCCTCATCAACTAAACCCAGCAAAAGAGAGCCAAGAACATAATATAATTTTCACAAAACTGAGCTTAGTTTTAAGCCAAATCGAACCCAGCGAAAGAGCTAAATTGAGCCCAGCAAAGGGACCAAAAACAGAGAAACGTCCCAGGTAAACCGAGCCTAGCAAGAGGGCTAAAACAGGAAAGATTTCTAGTCAAAACGCAACCCCAAAAGGAGTCAAACCGAGCACATCAAATGGGTCAAAACAGGGCCATCAAAATCAGATTTCATAAAGCCTTAAGCCTTAAAATTTTGCACCCTAGCATATGTTTCAAATAGTAACAGGTAACAGGGAATGAATAAGCATAGACAGATCCCTAATGCCAACATATTATCCAGTATTGAAACTAATTCCAGCATAGCAACAACAACAAAGAATTTCAGCATTACATTTATAGCATATATTCCAGATAAGCAAGTTTCATCACATGACAACAAATATAATTTTCCAAATTCTATCTATCATGCATTTTGAGCAGGAAAAGAGAAAGTATCCATATTATGCTCCTTTTTAATTGTTTCTAGAAACTATTCATGCTTAAATCTCAAAACAAGCCTAAACTTTACTTCCGCATGCTTTAGAAGGGAAAAAAGAGTAATTTCAGGTGCAAATTCGAATGATGCAGATTAGAAGGGAGAAGAGAAATACCTCTTAATGTAGACTTAAAGCAAAACTTTAGAATAAATTTAAGAAAATGCTTCCTATAGAAAATTTTCTCCCAAAACCTTCGAGAAAGCGACGACCCACGAACACCCCAGCATACAAGAACCTAGCCGAGAAGGAATTTCGACAGAACTTTCTCCTAAAAGCCTCGAACAACAACTAGCGAAAACCTTAGTCTTCTTTTCTCTCAGAAAATTTTCAACAACCCAGAAAAGTACCTTAAGAGGCCTTTTTATAGGCAGAGATGAGAGGGGGACAACCACCTACCACGATTTCGTGGTAAAAAAAAATAACGGGGAAGGAATCGCCGCAATAAAGGAGAAGGTAAAGCCTCGAGAAGAAGAAGGGTCGGCTAGCCCTTCTCCTGCGATTAGAGAGCTGAGATGTCGAGTGGCCACGCGAGGAAGGAGAAGGGTCGAGAGAAGGGAGGCAGCCACGTGGATGAGCCACGGGATCTAGGGCACACAGAGGGAATGAGCCGAGCGGCTGGTTGAGCCGCGTGATCGAGTGGGGAGCTAAGTGTGCGGGAAAGGGGGTAAATAGGGTTTAGGATTATAAATCTTATTATAATTAATGATATAAATATAAAAATATTTAATATTTTTAAAATAATATTTAATTCGTACCTTTTTATTCACGCGTCATATCGTAGCAAAATGGATGTCCCTTTTCGGTAATTCTGACGTTCCGTATGCGTTGGTGCGGTCCGTTTCGTCGTTAGAGGTCGTTTTGACGAATTCATCGATTTGCGTGCAATTTGCTTGTGTCCGAAAATTATAGTAATATAAGTGTCTTTTCTTGCTAAAATTGATGTTCTGGACACGTTGGGGCAGAGGTAGTCTGGAGAAGTTCGCATTTTCACCCATCCTTTAAGCTCAATTTTAGTCCGACCTTGTGCAACTTAGTGAATTTTGTACATTTTATGTGTGTGTGAGTGTGTGATGATAAAGTTTTGAAGAGGTTTTCCCAAGGCTTGAGATCTTATTGGGAACTTCTCCTTGAGTATCCACATGATAGTCCTTAACCACTCAACCATACGACGATGGTTTTGAGATTATTGATACGAGGCATCACAAGAGAAATAGGAAGTAACTGGAATTTCTAAGGGGATGGATTCCAATACTAGTTTTCTAAGAAGATAATCAATAGGAACCTCAAGCGCTAGATCCTAGGATACTAAGGAAAAAAAATAATGACCTAAAAAATGAGGTCAACAGATGAGCATATGCACTTATAATATTAAAAATTTTAGTATCAATGAAAATCTTAAAGGCTATAATTCTATCTCCAACTCTATTAATTTTTACAGTATTTTCTTTCAAACTCTTATCTATAATTACACCTACATCATTTTTAGTGCGACTCTTACTAAAATACCAAAGTTTAAAACATAAAATATCAATCTCCTTAGCCTTTTCTCCAACCCATTTACTTGAATGAATAAGATATTTATTTTTCTAAAAAACATAATTTTCCTATGAATCATAATATCAACTAATTCTATTAATTTACTATGGAGAGTGCCTATATTCCAAGATCTTATCCTGATATTAGTTGCATTAGTTTTATGGACTAACTTCTTTACCCACATTCGTTCATAATGTGGGAACCCTTGCTTATTTGACACTACACCCTGGCGCGGGTGTAATGGCCCTTGCACACTTTTCACTGTATTCAGGCTATACAGTGCGTCGCTTTTAGATGATGCCCTAACACTTACACAATGATCGAAATGATTCATATCATGATTTTTTTCGATAAGTTTTACGCTGGTTGTCCACTACCTAACGCAACCCTTCGCTTTTCATATCCAGGCTTGAGACTGGCAATGACAGTGTTAAAACATCCGGGCTTGGGACCGGCAATGACAATGTTAAAACATCATTTTAGGATAAATACAAATTATCCATTATTCTTAGATAATAGTGGGCTCTATGTTTTTGTACAGATTTAATTATTTTTTGTTATCTCCAAAGCAAAATTTTAACAAATTTAGATTAAAATTTTCACCTTCTTAAACTCGTATACATAGAGGAAGTAAAATTGGAGCTGGGGGTGCCTATTGACAATTGCTGTTGAAAAAATAGAAATAATGAGAGAATTAGAGAAAGAAAAGGCTTCTTTAAGAACGATCCAGTTGAGGCCTTTTGGTTTGAGTTAGATCCTTTTGTTTATCATCTCGTGTTTGGTTCTGGTTGTTTCTACAAGATGTTATTGGGTTTCCTATTTGTTTTTCTTATTGTATTTACTCATAAATAATGTTTAGTATTTTAAATGTTCCTTCAATGAAATTATTTACTCTTACTTAAATCTTTGGATATAATAGGTCTTTTACTAAATCGTTGGTTATACCCAGTAAAAATATCTATTTTGTATTGCTCTTTCCAAATATTTCTAATTGAATGTCTTAATGGAAAATGCACCTTCTCAGAAATTTGTTCCTTGAGGACTTATTACCTTCGCCAAAACTTTAGATATGGTCATGAAGTTTGCATTAACAAATATGCTTGCTTTAAGGCTTTTCTATGATTCTAAGCTTTTCATGTATGAAATAATCAATTAATGCTAGGATATCTTTAACTTGCTGCAAATTGTTATCATATTCATTTTTTATTTATTTCTCATGTCTTGAATGGGGAAATAACTGAATCAATCATTATTCACATAAGCAATAACAAGCTTCTTCACATGCAGGCAGCTCGTATGGGCATTCCAATCCTAGTTGAAGCAGAACGCAAAAAAGCAGGGCTTGGTGGTCTCCTTGATTTGGCAACTTACATCATATGTTCGGAAAAATTTCCTCAGGTTGCATTGAAATTCTTACATTTCAAAGTAACCTCATTTTCTAACTTTGAATGCTGAACTTTGGTGAGATATATTTTGAGCTCGAGTTTTCAAGTGTTTTTTGTCCTTTGATGTGTTTACATAGATCTTGACTTGTCTATGTACGTTGCATTTCCTCACCTAAATTAGGGATAACCATGCGGTATTTATTGATTTATTAATGTTTGCTTTTTATAAATAAAAAAGGGAAGATGGTGATAATGAAGAATATTTATTTATTTATTGATTAAGTACAAAACAACCAATTGTAGCATTCTTATGGGTGATCTTATTTCTTATAGATCAGCATTCCTTCATAATTAAGAATATGATTTTCTTTAATTTGGCGTTTCATTGGAAATGGCAGGCTTGGACATCAGTCTCTTCTATGCCAAAAGCACTCGTATCCATTCTTCTAAAATACCCAACCGTCAAATTTGTAATTGTGACCCTTGGTGAAAAGGGTTGCTTGATGATTGACAGAAGAGCATGTGGTATTTTCTTGAAGGCAGATTTACATGTATACTACTTAATTCCTATGTATTTACATCTAACTCCTAAACGTCAACTTTTACATATGTGCTACTTTACCTGTACATGAAATAGTGTTATTTTTAATGTGATATGAAAGATTTGGTTGGTCTAAATGTAAAAATGTAAATTTTGGTTGTTAGATATGTAAATACATAGGAATTGGGTGGTATATCTGTAAATGCCTAAACCTGTATTGGTCAAATTAATAATCATTCTTGTTCTAATTAAAACCTTATTATTTAATAGGTGAAGACCCTGATCTAGATGCCATAGACGCAGACAGTCTGACTGAGTCACTAAAGCTGAAAATTGATGAAAACGTTACAACTCCAACATATGTTTCTTCGGTGGTAGGTTTGAGCTTATTGTTCGAAGCCATTGTTTTTGAGCATGGAATCTGGAAACTGCTATTCCTATGTGTAACAGCATATTCGTTAAAACAAAGGGACATTTATATACATAGTATATAATTCTATGTATTTACATATATCGCACTTAACTTTCATATTTGCACACATCACTCAAATCTTTAGTATCGCATAAAAAACAGCACTATCCCATTTTAAAAATGAAATACAAGCTCCAAACTACTATGTATGAAAATTATTAAGTTAGGTGTGAGATATGTAAATACACAAGCATTGTGAGCCTCGTATGTATATTTCTCTAAAACTAATCTAATTAGACATTGTGCATTTCATTTATTTTTCAGCATCTCTTAATTCTCTATATTGCTTCAAAACCAGAGAAGACAAGGCCTGTCTCAGTTCCTTATGGTTATATTGGTGGCATCAAATTTAAAATTTTTATTTTTGTTTGTTTAATTTATATTATTTCTTCCTCCAAAACATTTAGGTTTGTTGTTCTTATATCTTTCGCTTTAAAGTTTATAAATCATTTATGCATTTCTAAAGAAGAAGCTGGTCATTAATCCCACTCATTGCTTTGGAGGATTGAGCAATTGAAAGTTCACGAAGTCCCAAATTTTTTCTTATTTCTTAGTCAAGCGTAAGACTAAAGGCAAATGGAATAGGCACATTAGATGGAAAATTGCTCTTAGGGACTGCTGAGAAGATTCCTCCCTCAGAAATTCTGGATACTACTGGTGCTGGTGATGCATTTATTGGAGCAGTTCTATATGGTACGTTGTCCTTTTCTTTTATTGGTTCGTGTCGCATTCTCATATTGTTTAAAAAGGAATTTACTTGCATAGCACACAATTCTTCTGTATTTATATATCTAACATTTAAACCTTCATATTTACATACAGTTCACTTTGGTAGTTTGGTGCTTTAAACCTATGCATGAGAAGGTGTTTTCACGATTAAAAAGGGGTAAAAATGCTTTTTTGGATGTGATATTAAAAATTTGACTGCTGTGTGTGTAAATATAAAGTTTTAGGTGTGAGAAAAGTAAATATATAAGAATTGTGTGTTGTGAATGTAAATGCCCCCATTTAAAATTTATTTTGATTGCAAGTGTAGTGCAGATTTGTATGTATTATATAATCGCAATAATGTTTAATTTTTTGAAATAATTTGTGGTGATCTATGTGTGGCTATTTAATGGAAACTATCCCTACTTCTACTACAACTAGGACTGTCAAAACGGCTTGTTGTTCGCGAACAACTCGTGTTCGGCTCGTTAATATGCTCGTGTTCGTCTCGTTCGCTAATTTAACGAGCCGGACACGAACAAATATTTGTTCGTTCATGTTCGGCTCGTTTTGGCTCGAAATATTACTAATCAATTATGTA